TTATGACTTTAAGCAAATGTTTTGCAGAACATTCTTGGTTTACTGTATTGACCAGCTTCAGAAACAGTGACAGAGGCTTCTACTTGACATTCTTCATTCCAGTAGCCAGTGGAATTAAATGTAGGCTTTGCTTGATCCTTTTGATTTTGTTTTGATCCTTTCTTTCACCATCTGCCATCTTAGTCTTGGCATTTATATCTTACTTAGAGAAAGCTATCATGTACTCCTAGCTTTCAAGAGCCCACCTAGCAGTGTGTTAGCACTATCATCCTTGCCAGGTGTATCACCTATATCATGATAGAGTGTCTGCCACTGGTGTAGCTCCCTCAGCATCTAGTCCCATACATATATGGCTCCTGACAGTACTTGTTAGCTAAGTCCCATAGTTCCTTGAGTATATTCTCCCTTTTAGCAGGCCCAGCACATACTGGCCAGATTATACTGTTACTTATAGTATAACCTAGTTTTTAGTATTTGGTCAGGTTGGGAGGTAGAATGACTTCTGAAGAGGTGGGTTGTGTATGTCTTGAAAGACAGAGGCCTTGCAATGTCTTTAAGCAAGAGAGAGAATACCGATTTTAATATTAATGAGTCATCTATGTCTGAAGACTTAAACAATACAGAAGAATATATAATGTTTTCCAAGTGCATTGAACAAATTTTCTTCATCTTAACACTTGGGGTCCCCTTCCTTTCCAATCAGGACCTGACCCTGGCATAGCAGATTTGCTGAGGCCAATAATTCAATCTTCTCTAGAGTCTTTTCTAGTTTTTATATTAAGTCCTGCCTCTGATCCCCAGCTTTTATATCTGGCTGTAAGAAATGTGAATCTTTTCATATTCTGCCAAGGAGATGCTCTGGCTTTCACGTTTTGTTTTAAACTGGTGATTTATCACATTAGCCTTTCTTTGTCTTTCTCTAGTAAATTGATAGCATTCAGCAGCAGCCATTCAATTCCATTGTCCTATATTTACTGATTTTTCTGAGCCTCTCAAACATCTGAGTTATTGTAACCATCAGACCATTCCCTCCTATTGGTATGTTTTGCTAGTTCACCTTTGGCAAAACAGTTAGCAATTGCACTGCTACAGTATGCCAGATAATGTCATCTCTTCATCCACCATCCATAATGAGGTACACACTGCCAGTTGGCTGGCAGGTAATTAAGCTCCAATATTTCTTTAAGAATCTCTTTCCTTGGACCACCCAACTCCTTGTATTAATAGCGATTATCTTAGGTCAGGTTTCATTTCCTGTGAGCAGCATCTGGGACAGAAATTTGAATGAAAGAGGTTTAATTTGCTTGAGATCAACACCTGTGGAAGAGTGAGGTAATCAGGAATGGTCAGAGGAAGAAACAAAACTGCAATGCTATTGTAACTAAAGACTCAATCAATTCCATGGAGAGCACTGACACTGCAGTGGTTCATAGTTTTCCCCAAACAACATAAGGGAGCCAAGGGTTTGATTGTCAACATGAATCAGTCAATGTACACGAGCTACCCCAGGGAAGAGAGCATAAGCGTGGATGAGGCAAATCCCTTTGGCTGAGAACATTCCTTGGGGATGAAATTAATTATGAGCAGACCCTGACAACTCTTTCCACAATTGGGGAAATAATCCCTCAAGGGGGTTCTAGGTGCTACACTACAACATCCACTATAAATAACTTGGTGCAAACTTTTTTTAAAAATGATAAATAATCTCCTGATTTATTATATTTGAACATCTGTCTTCAGGTGCTGGATTTTTTTAAAGGATAGATCTATCTTTCAATCCTTTTAAGAAGCATGCAAATCTAACTAAAAAGAAATCTCTTTTAATTTACCATATCCTCTCTAAATTATAGGACAAGAAAGCTTATGCCCAATAATAATAATGTTCATTAGTTTATGAAGAAGTCCCCAAAGGCAATCACAGCAGCAACAAAAATAAATAAATGGGACATGATCAAACTACAAAGCTTCTGCACAGCCAAAGAAATAGTCATGAAAGTAAACAGACAACCTACAGAATGGGAGAAAATTTTTGCATCCTACGCATCCGATAAGGGACTGATAACTAGAATATACTTAGAACTCACGAAAATCAGGAAGAAAAATCAAATAACCCTATTAAAAAGTGGGCAAAGGACTTGAACAGAAACTTTTCTAAAAGAGACAGAAGAATGGCCAACAAACATATGAAGAAATGCTCACATCTCTAATCATCAGGGAAATGCAAATCAAAACCACAATGAGATATCACTTAACTTCCAGTGAGAATGGCCTTTATCAAAAAGTCTCCAAACAATAAATGCTGGCGTGGATGTGGAGAGAGAGGAACACTCCTACACTGCTGGTGGGACTGCAAACTAGTTCAACCTCTGTGGAAAGCAATATGGAGATACCTTAAGGCGATACAAGTGAATCTACCATTTGATCCAGCAATCCCATCACTGGGCATCTACCCAAAAGATCCAATGATACTCTACAAAAAAGACACCTGCACTCGAATGTTTATAGCACACAATTCATAATTGCAAGCTGTGGAAACAGCCAAGTGCCCATCAATCCAAGAATGGATTAATAAAATTGTGTATATGTATACCATGGAGTACTATTCAGCTCTAAGAAACAACGGTGATATAGCACATCTTATATTTTCCTGGTTTGACTGGAACCCATACTATTAAGTGAAGTTTCCCAAGAATGGAAAAACAAGCACCACATATACTCACCAGCAAATTGATATTAACTGAACAGCACCTAAGTGGTCACATAGGTACTACAGTAATAGGGTATTGGGCAGGTGGGAGGGGCGGGGGTGGATATATACATATATAATGAGTGAGATGTGCACCATCTGGGGGATGGTCATGCTGGAGACTCAGACTTGTGGGGGAAGGGGGGGAAATAGGCATTTATTGAAACCTTAAAATCTGTACCCCCATAATATGCTGAAATTAATAATAATAATAATAATAATGTTCTTTAAAATGTCTTTCTGTTTTCCAGCAGCAAAGAACCAAGGAACAAAGTTCTACCCAAGAAGTCAGTATGAATTCTGCAGGAAACAGGTGTGAATCCCAGATTTTCTTTTGTTCATCCATAGATTTTCACCCATACTCCATACATACAACCACTTCAAATTGGGAAATCCAACTCTTTGTTGGGATTTTAAAGTATATTTTTACAGGGCATAATAAAGTTTTAAATAGCATGATAGATTTTTTTCCTTAAACACCCATATTTTTATGAAAAATATTTTCTAGGATTAGCCACTATAGCCATTAAGCCTTTTAAGAGGACCCTGAGGGCTGGCAAAAGCTAAATAGGAAGGTGAGAAAAAGGAAAGTACAGATTCAGATTTCTCATTCATAAACTTTAGTTTTCTAAATTACAAGTTAAAAATATGAGTATATGTGGGCTCCGAATGCATATCTACTGTTATGTGTTATGTCCTCCACACAATGCTAAACCATTCTCACATGACCCCCTTAATATCATGTAGTCAAACAAATTATCTCTGTTATGTCCTTATGTTTTACTACCTTCTTAAGAATCCAGAGTCTCTCTAAGCCTGTAAGAAAAAGTTTATCTTTGTCAGCAATTGCCTTTGCAAGATTTACTCTAAGGCTCTTATGGAAAAAGAGATCCATTTCCAGCCCTCATATGTTAACTAGGGAATTTCAAACCCATTACAAAGGGTCAAACAAGAATAGACACAATATCATCCTCTCCATTTTTATCCATTCTATGCACTTTCCCCATCCCCATCCAAACTTCCTCCTCTTCTAGTTCTAAAACAAAAGCTCCCACATATACCAATAAATGTAAAATGATAATGAAGGAGAAGGAGAAAGAATGTCCAAGAAACAATGAGCAAACCTAGGGAAGGCAGAGCTCACCCTCTGTTATGGTCTCCCCAGTAAGTTTCTGCAAAAAATCTTCTCTCATACACACACACACACACACACACACACACACGTGTGTGTATATATGTATATATTTATATATACACATCTATACATATATATATACACATATATCTTCTAATATAAAATCAGATAGATGAAGATGCTCTCTCCCCTTAAGAGTGGTAACAAGACTAATCTAAGCTTGATATTGCTAAGGGAGATAACCAGTGCCCTTCAAATACAAGGCCTTCCTGTCCCAGAACCCATGCTGAGCAAGAATGAAGGCACAGGTGACTCAATGTCCTAGAAGCAGGAGTAGCATGTAAACATCAGCTGAACAGACCATTCCATCCCAACTCAGGCAGCAGAGTGAGCCAAGCTTTCTACTACGGTATGGCTGGGGTTGAGGATTCAGATTGCTTTTGAGGGGTAGGTGCTACTTCTCCTTTTTTCTGATTTCAGAAAAGGTGTCCTCTCCAACTATTCTTTTTGCCCATAGAGGCTGGGGTGACGGGAGGCCCCTGGGCCATGGCAAGGGCCAGAGGGCTTAGCTATATTCAGACTCCCAGTTTCAGTTTCCCCGTGTACTGTATCTCATGGTCAGCAAATTTTAGTGCAATGGTGCTAAACACTGATGAGTGAGATATTGAGGATATTGGTTCTTGAAGTCTTTGTTGAAGATTTAGGGGGAGAATTCTCAACTAAGTAACACTGTGCATACTGCATTTGGGAAAGAGCTAAATATTAGAAATAAAACTCAAGGAAATTTTTTTTATTTCAAAATATTAAAGGAGTACAAGTGTTTTTGTTACATGGATGAATTGCATAATGCCGAGGTCAGGGCTGTTAGTGTACCCATGTGTTTTGTTTTTGTTTTTGGCATATTTGTTTACTCCTGTTTGTGAAAATATCCTTAATTTGTTGATGTATCAAACAAATTTTAACTCCGATTGCTATTCCAAAAACAGAAGATAATCTTCTTTCCAATAGAGTTTATAGTTCAATTGCATACAGACAATATTCTATATATGAAAAAACTACTAACTGACTAAACTATAGATATTAAATACTGAAAAAAGCTAACAGCCTATTATAATTTATTTAACAATCTAGGAAGTTTGCAACCATCAGCAGTTCCAATGCAATTTTAAGTGCAATTGAGGATCTTGCATGATACCACTACACTAGCAGCTTGCAATTGGGAATTCAAGCTGTTAGTGGGAATGCAATTGGGAATGGAGCTGTTAGTGTAGCAAACCTTGTAGGTAAAATACATGCGTAGTTTTGATAGCACATGTGAAGGGATCTCTCTAAAATTGACCTCATTGGCTTCATCGGCCAGCAAATGACCTGGGCTGGCTTTTATTGTTCCTGATCTTAGGACATGTTCTCCTTTTACAATAAATTCATGACCATCAGAAGATGTCAATTTGACATACATGGCATCAGGGCCTTCACAGCCACCATAGGTTTTCTCCTCTCCATTCATTATGTTCTTAGGAAATTTGACTTTGCTTTCCCAGGAACTTAGTAGTTTCCTGTTGAGGCAGGGACGCAGAGTCTACTGCTCACTTCCATCTGAAGGAAGTGGGTAGTGCCCCTCGCCCTTTTTTTGTAGTGTACATTGTTCCTGATAGTTAGGTTTTTATCCCTCATTTCCCTGCCTCCTTCTAAGTTTCCAATGTCCCTTATACCACATTATGACTATGTGTACCCATTGTTTAGCTCCCATTCATTTGTGAGAACATGTGCTTGTTTTCCCATTCCTGTCTTCACATAGGATAATATCCTCCAGGTCTATCCAAGTTGCTGCAAAAGACATTATTTCATCCCGTTTTATGGCTGAGTCATACTCCGTGGTGTATATATACCACATTTTCTTATGAACTTACACAAATACAGTAAAACACTATTTCAGCTTTTGTTTTAAAGCAGCAAAAAGAAATTTGGATGAGGATGGAGGCAAAGTAGATAAAATAGAAAATGTTATCAATCATCAGTTGGCAACAAGGGCCCTGATAAAGATCACTTTTGGAAGAATTGCTCTTTTGCCAAGAGCATCAGAAAACTTAGTCTGAGCCAGCTGCACTTAACTGATGCTGTCTGCACCAACGCTTTATTGGTTGACTAAGTTGCAGTAACAAAACACATCAGATCTGCCAAACTTTGTTTGATACCAGTTGGATAGCAACACGAAACTTCCTAACATCAAGCATAAGCTCAAAGGGATCTTCTTGAACACCTACCTTTTGGGGGTGACAGTTTAGTTCCCTGCTCCCTACACCCAAGAGACAATTACACTGAAAAAGTTCAAGATCCTCAAGATAAACTAGTGCTTAATGGCATCCTTGTTATATAAAGAAGCAGGTTTTTAAGACAGACTACTCTGGACAAGAACAGCATGAAGCAAATAAGAGTATTCATAACTATGACAATCAGTGGTATATTGGTAAACCAGTTTTCTGGGTGGGAGGGTAGTCAGGATCCCTAATTTATAGCATTCACCAGCATCCATGGTATGAATACTTACTTACACTATATATTTACAATTTCAAGCTACCAATGTTTTAATAGCAGACATGCAAAATTCCTGAATATTTACCATTTGGCTCCTGGGAGCTATACAAGCCAGTTCTGGCATGCCACTAATACAACTTTAATGACAATAAAAGAAGCAAGACACAGAGAAACTTATCTTGGCCACAGCAGACTAAGGATATTCACCTCCTCTTTAACACAGAAGTATTAGAAGCAAAATAGAATAACTATACTACAGAGTTTTATATAGGTTGTATTTATAAATTAATACTTAAGTAAACTCTATGTAGCATATCTTCTTTAGTTCTTTAGTTTCAATACATAGTACGGATTCATTCAATTTGACCTTATTTGCCATCATTATAAAGTCCTGAATTGAAAAAGTTCTATAGTTACAGGAATAGACTCAGAGTTATATATGGACTCAGTAGACCCATGTTGGTAACTACCATCGAACCCAACCTCTTATACTAAAATAAGTGAAAAAAGTAGACATCTTTTAAGATTGATTAGAAACTCCTGGTCTGGGTATAATATACACTAAATTTTCAAACAGTGTTTTCTATTTATACAATATTGCTCAGCAATCATATTTTGTTAATTAATGTTAATGAATGCATAGAAATGTATTAATTTGTCTAAACTTGTATATAAACAATATAAATAACTTGAAATTTAAATATCTTCTGTTTTGTTAGAATGTACACTCATCAGTCCCTATGATCCTAAAAGAAAGAAACTCTACATGGTAAATATGCCTTAGAATTAAAAGACCAGAAAGAGCAACATAGTTTCCCTTCAAAACTAACAGTCCTGCAATGTTTAAAATAGACCCCCAAAGTCCTAACTTCACAGAAACTACAAAGAAACAGGGCTATAAGCATCAGTCATTTTGAAGCTTCTAAGTTGTTGCCGACTTTGTTGAGATGATGGATATATTAATTAACTTAATTGAATTATTCCACATTGTATTCATAAGTCATAACATCACTTTGTACCTCATAAATATATGCAATTATAAATGGTCAATTTATAATAATTTTAAAAAAATAAAGAAGGCACTGCTATTAGCTGCATTTTAGAATTGATTTAACAAATACTTCATGTTAAGATATTTTTCCAGGCACTTTGGAAGACATAGAAGTGGTATCTGTTTTTTAGAAGTTAATATCCTAGAGGGAGAGAGATTGTACATAAAACATAACAATATGTAGCTATGATAACTCTTATCATGGAAGCAGAAAGTAATTTTTAGGATGGACAATGGAGAGATCATCTGAATTATGAGATATTGCAAAACTCATGGGGATAATGAACACGTAGTATATCTGAGATTTCAACTGTCAAAGACAGATGGAATAAGCTCCTAAATTTAGAATCAGCAGAGAAAAAAAATTTTCAGAGGAGGGCTTTTTTCAAGTGTATTGGAGATAAAATGAGAAACTCAGTATGATTGGACCAAATATCGTATGATGAGTTAGAGGATGAAAAAATATGAGTTTAAAAAATCATAACAAGTCCTAATAACTAACAATAATTAAATCTCATAATCAAAAGTTTGAGTTTTTTTATAGGTAATGAGAAGCTTCTTAAAATTATTTAATTTCATAGCTGTGAAAATAGAGTTGCATAGAACCATAGTCCTGAAAGATATTGAAAAAGAAATGTCTGAACTAGAATGATTGTATAAAATTTAGGACTGTTATTTGTAGGGGACAAAAAATAAAATTAGATTTGTGTATTCAAAAAATAGAATTTATTGTAAGAATTAACTGAAAATAAAAAAGCCGCTTGAATCAGGGGATCAAAAGATGTCACCTGGATCCAATTTATCTCCATATCTGTACACTCTTCAATCACCACTTTCTTCTTAACATTCATGTAATTACAAGATGTCAGCAATAGGTCTAGGCATATATTATACCAGATTCATGACCTGTAAGAGGTTGAAAAAAATTCTTAATCTTTTCTCAAGAAATTGACCAAGTCTATGCCAAAATTTATACAGAAAAGAAAAGGATTTGGCAGAAATAGAAATTGTTAAAATAAGAATAAGATTGAATAACTTATACTGCTATCATCAAGCTATAGCAGACTAATGGAACAGAATAAAAGTCTATGGACTCTCACTTATATGGGCAAATTTCCACAATAATTCAATGATGAAAACCATAGTCTTTTCAACAAATGGAGTTGGAATACCCAAGAATCTATCTAGAAAAATTAATAAACCTCATTTGTTTCCTCATACTATATACACAAATTACCTCAAAATATATCCTATATCTCAATGCAAAAGCTAATACAATAAAACATATGACAAAAGAATAAAAATAATTGTGTCATTGAATTGGACAAGTAAGTAAGAAGTAAGGAAAATAAACCATAAAAAGAAAAAAATGATAAGTTGTATTTCATCAAAATTAAAAACCTTTGCTGTTTTTACAGGCACAGTTCAAAAAAAAAACAAAAACACAAATTACAGACTGAAAGAAAATGTTTGTAAAGCATACCTGAAAAGGGACATCTATCCAGAATATATCAAGTGCTCCTATTACTCAATAATAATAAAACAAACAATTTATAATGGCAAAATATTTAAAAGATGCTTTACTAATCAAGATATTCAAATGGCCAATAAACACATGAAAAGATGCTTAATATTACTAGCCATCAATAGAATACAAAGTAAATCCACAATAAGATAGCACTACATACCCACAAGAATGGCTAAACTAAAAAGACTGGCATTACTAAGTGCTGGAGAGGATGTGGAGCAACTGGAACTCTCATACACTGTAGGTGGAATTAAAATAGTATTATACAACCATTCTGGAAAATAGTTTGCCTCTATATTATCATTTAAGCATACACTTACCATATACCTAGACAATCACACCCTAATAATTTACCCAAGAGGGAGGATAACATATGTTCCCGTGAAGACTTGTAAGCAAATATTTATAGCAGAATTGTTCCTAAAACAAAACCCAGGAAGCACTCAAAGGATCATCAACTGATGAACAAATAAACAAAATGTAATATACCCCTACCACAGAATACAGCTCAGTAATAGAATAAACTATTGACACATACAACAATATGAATAAATCTAAAATGCATTATGCTAAGCAGAAAAAGTTTAACACAAAAATTTTCATGACGTTTTGTGTCTAATTCTAGTAAAGGCAAAATTAAAGTAAAAAAAAAAAAAAACAGATTAGTGGTTAACTGGGACTAGATGTCAGAGAGGCTGTTCACTACAAAGGGCATAAAGGAACATTTAGGGATGAAAAATATTCTAAATCATAAACTTAAAATGGAGGAATTTTTTATTTAGTTGTTACCTCCATACATGTGGGAGAAAATTATTCCTGACTCTTTCCTTCCTTCTTCCCTTGTTCTTTTCCTCCTCCTTTCTCAGAAGTTCAATCCTAGGAAACTAGAAAGTTGTATTAGACATGAAGTAATGGTTCAGTACCAATGCATAATTGATGTATTCGTGTGTGTGTGTGTGTGTGTGTGTGTGTGTGTGTGTGTGTTCTCTATCTGTGTCCTTTGAGAGAGCACAAAAGTAGTGGTATCTCAATAGCAATGAACACACTTAACATCCAGATATTAGTTTCTAATTATTATTCTGCACAAAAATTAGCTATAGTTCCCTTGGAGTGATGGCTTATTCCAAAACATAGAAAGAAAACAGTTCTCAAAGAACTGCCATGCCAAAGGAACGCAGAGGTTAGTTTAAAAGGATTTTCACTGACCGAAGCAGAGACAATGTGATTATCAAAATAAATGACAGTAATGGATTATAATCTACTGAATAAAATAGGAATTAAGTCTTTATCATATATCCATATTGATATAAAGAAATCAATAAATTATTTGATGAGGAATGGGATATTCATATAGTCTCAGTATATCTCTGAATGGAATGTTAATTAACACCAAAGGG